GCTCTTGGTTTCCCTGGCAGTCTGTCTGTCGGCCCGCCCCGGCGAGATTTCAAGCGCAATCCATCCGCCGAGCCTAGCGCGGAGGTAGGAAGGGGGAGTGGCAGAGAGAAGGTGAGGGGGCACCCCGAGGGTTAGCACGCAAGTCCTGCCGGGGCTGCTCTCCCACTGGGGTGCATTCCTCGTTCGCTTCCCCTCCCCCCTCCCCAGGCTGTCCGTCAAAGCCTGCTTGGCAGCCCCCCCCCCAGGATCTGAGCGCAAGTAAACACGTGGGCAGGACCCCCTCGGCTCAACTTCTCCCGCAGCCGACGCATTCGAGGGTCCTCCTGAAGGAGACGTTTTTGTCCCACAGAAATAAGGGCTGAAATCATGACCAGGCCAACGTCTGTAGAAGTAGCCTAGTTGTAACTATACAACTTGATTTTCCCGAAGAAGCTAGTCGAGAGATCCTGGACACTCTTCTTGGAATCGGAGGCTTCCCGTTTTCCTTCTCTAGCATTATGATGGGGTGGGGGCCTCGTTTTGCGCCTTCTTCCCCTCCCCCCAGCAATCATGTCGTGGGGAGACGGATCTATCCGTGGTGAATTCCGGTGGGTGGCCGGGTTGGTCTCAAGCAGCAGCAGCAGCAGCCTGAGTCCAGAACATCTGAAGAAGGGTGCTTGCACACGAAAGCTTATACCTTGAATCAAAATTTGTGGGTCTTAGAGGTGCCACTGGACTCGGACTTTGTTCTTATCCATGGTAAGTCTGCAGTGGATGCAAATAAATAATAAAAACTGCTTTAAATGAAATTCAGGTCGGTGTCACCCCAGTCCGGATGTGTTTGGGAAGCTCTCTCCTGGCCGAGCTGCTTTTGTTTTATTTTGCTTTCTTTAATAAGTCGGCTGTTCCTGGATTGACCCTGGATTTTATAGCAGGTTCCCAAAGGCTTCGGGCAGCCACCGTTCCACAGCTCTTCCCCCGCCCAAAGGAAGCCACGGATTCGACTGATCTTCCCGCAGGCTGAAAGTCGCGCAACCGTCTATCAGGCGAAGCATTACGGTGGCCTTTCTAATAGGTATTTGGGAGCGATTTCCGTTGAAATCAACGGGATATTTTTGAGAATGCTTAAAATGTGTCCTTTCTTCTTCTTTTCAGATACACTGGTCGGGCTGATTTCCAGAGACCCTCTGTTCTTTTAGGTCAGGCAACGAAAATTGTATATATAGACGGTGACCCGCGGACGTGAGCAGGGGTTGACTTCGGCCTGCGTGCTTCAGGTGAGGTTTTAATTTGCAAGTATGGCCTCTGTAGAATTTGCTTGTGAAAGCGTCCAGTCTTCAGCCCCCACAGAAACGAGACCTTTCTAAGTCTCTTGAAGTCAGTGGGTTTCTAAACCCACTATCAATCTGTTAAGGATTCCCCAGCAAATCTCCCTGTGATCCATCCTGATCTGTGTTTGTTTAAGGGCAGGGACATCAACAGAAACACACAGTTTGTGAGGCTGTCGACTACAGAAGATGGGAAGTCTGAGTAAGTAGGGGTTCCTGGACTATTCCGGAAATCACTTAGAGGGGAAAACCGC